AAAGGTGTGGGGACGAAGTTAAAAAAAAAAACAAAAAACAAAAAAAAAACTCCTTAGGCGCCAAACCCACAGCAGCCTGCAACATATCTGGGAGCAGCTGGGTCTGGTCTTCGCGGCCCTCAAAGCTACTTCCCGCGCTCTCGCCCCTCGACCTGGCCCGCTGGCCATGACCATGGCCTCTGGCCAGGACTAGCTCTGGGGAGGGGCTGAGATCTGCCTGGGATCTGCTCGGCCCAGCTACCCAGCTGCTTTCCAAACCCAGGCCTCCAGCCTGGGGCGGGCGGAGGTCGGGGTGTGAATCGGAGTAGGGGCAGGTGTCCCAAAAGGCTGGTGGTGGTGGGAAAGAAAGGCGTCCACTTACCTTTGGAGATGGAAGAGGTTCAGAAGGGTGTAGGGAGGGGGTTCGCAGCCTCTGGAAACCCTCTTGGTTCCTCCTCCTCAAGGCTGCCCGGCAGGCCCAGCGGAGATATCCGACTAGGGCGGGGCCGAGGAGGCGGAGAGAGCGGCAAGCTGCAGGCGCGCGGGAGCTGAGTTGCAGAGCATCTCTGGAGAGGCCGCCTTTTATGGGCGTTGTTAGCGCCCCTGTCTAGACTGGAGACGACACCTCCTCTGTGTGTAAACAGAGGCGGCCGGCTCTGGCGGGAAGGGGGATGGCGCGTTAAGGGGGCGAGCGGCCCTTCCCTTCGCAGCCACCGGAAGATCAAGGCCTTTTCTTCCCTCCCCTTTCCCTGTGCTCCCTGTGATGTCAAGGTCAGAAAGACCTAGTCACGGTCAAGGCTAAAACAGGAAGAGCCTGGTTGGTTGCGAAAAGGCTCTGGCCCCCTCCTCCTCCCAGAAGTCCCTTGCTCCCCTGGGCCCCTCAATCCTTCACAGCTCGGGTCTGGATACCGCTGCAGGAAAGGGCACTTGGAGTTTTGGGGGTAGGTGGGCCCAGGCGGATCCTAGGGTGGAGAGTTCTCTTTTGAACAGGATGGAGTCACAGAGGGGGTTGCTACAGGGTCCTCAGCAAGGAGGATTGTTCCGAAAGATGGTGGCTGCCTCCAGGGTCTGCTCCGCCTTGCGCCCACACTGGCCTGCTGGCCCTGCACTGTTGACCCAGCCAACGTGGATCAGCCTCGGCAGCAGATGGTCTCCGAGACTGTCATGGAGGGATCTCCCAAGAACTGCTGGCCTTGCCCCCTCGGGTGGGTTCCTGCTGTGTCACGGGACTACCAGCTGAAAGGCCAGCTCTGCTGGTTCTAGGGCTGGACACGAAGATGCTGGAGGAGAAAGATCTTGCCCCCAAGCCCAGGAAGGGGTCTATTTGAGCCTTCCCTGGCAGCTTGGACCTCCGAATGGGGAGTCTTGTGAGGCCCCAGCCCACTCAGGGCCCCTCCAGTCCTGGCAGTGGGGCCATGGGCAGGCTGTCTGTTTCTAGGCAAAGCTTCTGAGCTAACAACCTTTAGACCTCCTACCCCTCTGCACCCTCAAATTTACCCTAACGAACAGCCTCACTCTCGACTGGCCTTGGAGGGAACAGCTTTTTATAGTTTTAAATACAGAGGAGAAAACACGCTCTACACCCTGAGATGAGTGTGCCAGCACACAATATTCCTACTTACACACACACACACACACACACACACACACACACACACACACACACACACACACGCAGGCCAGATAGGTCAAGGGCATTCTCCTTGGCTCTTCCCTCCTTCCCCACACACCTTCATAGGAATATCTCACAGAGCCCCCAACAACGAGAATGCCAAGAGTTGGGGAAAAGGAAAGGTAAGGGATGAACATAATCAGGGAAAGAATAATGCATATCCCGACTTGGCCTCCCCAGGACACACACTCATACACACTTACATAGTACCTCTGTCACACAGCAATTTCTGTTCACATGCTTGCCACTTTTATGGGAGAGGCATTTTCAGAATTAATCCTGGAATGATAATACTTCATAATCAATCCAGGCATATTTAGTTCTGCATATGAGAGGGTCCTAAGCACCTGGCACACCAGGGCTCATGGGGACTCAGAGGGACTGCAATCCTTGCCTAGATTATGGGTGTCCCAATGCACCCCCAAGAAGCCTGCTTTTCTCTTCTCTTTGCCATTGCCCCCTTCTCAGGCCTCAGTGTGTGTCCCTCACTAAGGGAAAACTCAGCAAATTTATCTGTGTACGGATTTGTGTGCAAAAGTGGAGGGGTCCCTTGAAAAACTCTGGACTTCTCTTATTGCACCAAGTCTCCAACGTTCACTATGTCTACAGTTGTGTCATGTGACTACTCAATGCACCCCCAAATCAAGAGGCATAGGGACAAATACCAAGGGAGCCCCAGGACTCTCGATCACTGATCACTAAGTTCCTTTTTCTGATCAAACCCACACATTTAGTCTCCAACTCTTTCCGTCTCAGGAGAGACCAAGGGGTCGTTGGAGAGAGATTGCGGCGGTGGGTGGGGAAAGAAAGGGGAGAAGAAATTAAGCATGAGCCCTATTCTTGGGAGTTTCAATTCTCCCCACCCCCACCCCCACCAAATCCCCACTGCCGAGTGTGTGATTGATTCTCTGGTAGTTAACCCAGAATTGAGACCGAGTAGAACCGGACCAGCAGCCAGATCAGTAACGGAGGAGACTAGGCAGACAGCGAATTCTTCAGGCTCTTTGTCTCTCAGACTCTGTGTGTGTGTTTCACCTCCAAAAACATTTATTTCAATGAAATTTTAAAAGCTTCAGCCATCAGGCAAAGGGAGATCTGAGAACTCTCAATTCCAACCTGACGCCTCCAGTCTTTCTGTGTCTCAGGAGAGGAAAAATATTATATATAAATAAAAATTGCTGCAGTAAAGATTTAATCTGAGAGAACATTGTTTTAGGCTATATTGCTTTTTAAAAGTCTCTTAACCTGACAACTTAACGATCTCATTAACTCTACCAGATAGGGAGATAGGCACAGACAAGACAAGGAAAACAAATTAGTGGCAGAGTCTACACAGGGTCCTGACTGCCTGGAAGACTGGTGTTCCCATGGATGCTGAAGAGTAAAAGTGGGGTAGGTTTGGCAAATTGGGGGCCCATGGGGTCCTAGCAGCCAGACCTTTCTGCATACGTCAATGGAAAAGAAAAAGTGTAGCCAGGGAACACTGAGCTCACAGCTGCCCCTAGGAGGCTGTGTGCCGCCCTCACCCAGCTCCAGTCCTGGCCTGACTGCAGAGTTTCAGGGTCCTCTGGGAGCAGTGGGGCCCCAGGAGCCTGGGGTTGGCTCCACACTGCCACTGGCTTTGGTGGCTCAGCTGGGATGCTACCTCCTTCATCACCCAGATCGAGATCCAAGCCCCAACTATTAATGCAAGTGAATGGCAACGTACTCTGAAAACTCACCTGCTCAGAGGCCCTTCCAGTCATTGATTATATATTTCACCCCAAACATATATACATTTAAGTTGAGCATCAGGATGGGAAGGCGTTTCTCCTGTCTCAATAGTGTCAACAACTTAAACGACACTTAAAATCTTAAATGGAGCAAAAATGTGGGTTGAGATCTGCCCACCTATGGGTGATGTTTATACTCTTCCCCCCTGCCCATTCTGGCTGAGTAAGGGCATCTTAAACTGCCCTAAAGAGCTGGTGGACAGAAGGGGCTTCAAAAGGAATCTGAGCAATAACACCAAGGCCAAAAAAAAAAAAAAAAAGATTTTATTTTAAAAACAGGTTTGTGGGCTTTTTCTTTTTGCATTCAGTACACTGTCATTCTGACATCACAATACTATATACAGATACACAACATTAAAAAAAAAAAGAGCCTACTTCTGATGGACATTTCCAAAGAACACTGTTTTGTAATGCACCAGCAGGAAGGGAGGAGGTGAAGGGGCCCCCAGAGCACCCGGATGGCCTTTGAGGAGGGAAATATTAGGCAGCTTCTGCACTAGCTGGCTAATTGGGGGTGAGTTATTCTAGCCTCCTGGAAGAAAACTGCCTTCTTCTGGACAATCAGTAAAAGTGAGAGTGTGAGTTCTCTCTCCTGAGCCATCGCCTTGCTGGAAAGGCAACTAGAGGAGGAGATGAGAAGGAGTGCCGAGGTGCCCCTCTCCATCTCTTTGGAAGAGAAATCTGTATTTTCCTTAGAAAAAAAAAAGTTCTGTTTCTGGGCCTGGCCTATTTCCAACCTTACTATACAGAGAAAGACAGAGCAAGAGCAAGAGCGAGAGAAAGAGAGAGAGAGCACTCAAAGAAGAGGTAAGACATGTTTAGCGTCATGGTTGGAGTTTTTATCTTCCTTGAATTTTCCTCTATTGACTTCGAGAGCAGAACAGGGGAGGCAGTGGGGGCAAAGTCTGCAAAATTCAGCTTTTCTTGGTTAGGGTGAGGGGTAGGGCCTACGCGGACTCCAGCTTTTGTTGAAACAGGTGGGAAGGAGAACACCTAGTGCACTGTCTAGACTCCAATAACGCTGCCAGATCCCTAAAAATTATTAATATTAACGTGACTTCAAAAAATATGCACAGAAAACCTTAACTGGGAAATTTTGCCTAAGGAGTGCAGGAGGAACTGGAAGGAAAATCTGAGCTCACCAGGTTCTGCCTTGAGGCCGCAACTTCTAGAGGATCCTCTATCCTCCTGGATAAAGGAAAGGGCTAGAATCGGGATCGCTGGGGTTCCCCAACCCTGCTTTGACTGGAATAATTGGGCTTTTCGCTGCCGCTCCGCTTTCTGGTGAGGCTAAGGGTAAGGGTGAGGGGGAATGGAGGCCGGCGACCTTCCCCCCATAGCTCACTCCGACCCACCTCCAAAACTGCTGAGGCCCTGTGGGTCTCATCCTTGGGGGATGGGGTGGGGAGTAGTGGGCGGCAGAACGCGGCCCAGATCCTCTCCCCCTCCCAGCGGCGCGGTTCCTCTTTATTGTTAATATTAAATATTCGTCTCTACCGGTGAAGCGTCCTTCGGTGGGTTCGGTTATGGTACAAACCGGTGACATAAATAGACGGGGCGGGCGACCAGGTGGGCGGTCAGGTGGAGTGGAGATGAGGCGCTTTTGATTTGCTGACCACCTTCTTCTCTTTGACCCGCCGGTTCTGGAACCAGATTGTGACCTGGCGCTCGGAGAGGTTCGTGGTAGCCGAGATGCGCCGGCGCTTCTCTTTGGTGATGAACTTGCTGGCTGCGTACTCCTTCTCTAGTTCCTTCAGCTGTACCTTAGTGTAGGGCACGCGTTTCTTGCGCCCGCGCCGATAGCTGCTCACCTCGGGCTGTAGGGGAACCACGTCTGGGAGGGAAAGAGAGGGCGGGTGGGAAGGAATGAGGCCCGCGGCCAGCCGGGGCTAAGGGCCCTGCAGGCTGCGGAGGCGCAGGGTGTGGACAGGCGATCCAAGGGCTCCAGCGGATTGCGCTGCCTGGGGAAGACCTTTCCCCCTCCCCAATCCTTTGCATGTCTGTTATTAGCAAGGACACGATGAGGGTGAAGCTAGTGAAGCACCCGCCTCTGGGGCAAAATTTAGGGGGGGGGGATAAAAAAATTCAGTAATCAAGATAAATAATATTTTAATGCAATGTTTAAAAAGTCAAAATGAATGCAAAAAATCCACGATAAAAATATAAAAATTTTAAATAAACTACGGGATCAGTATTACCGATTTTTCCTCTTGCCTCAGGCTCCACTATGGCTCTGCACAGCATTAGAATCCTTGGCCCTTTGCAGGGGCCACCCCCCCCTTCTACCCTGACCTGCAGTGTCTGCAGGATTGCAGGTATTCAGAAAAAGCCCTCCTTCCTGCAGAACATCAGCTTCTACTCTGCCCCATTGTCAGGGGAAGGCATTTTGTTGTATATTTAGGGGAGGGCATGGCAGGCAGAGGGACAGTTTCAGTGGACATAGACCACTGAGTGGGTCCTCATGACTTTGGGCACTGGTTCTGCACTAGGGATCCGAGGCCTGCACCAACAGATAAAGAGAAGGAAAGTGTTCAAATGAAGCTAGCCTGCTTGGGGGCCAATCACGAGGAATTGGGGCCCAATGACCACATTTGTTGTGGGCCACCTAACAACACCCAATGTGGGGGATCTTGGCACTGAGACCCAGGGAATCAGGCCCCTGAAAGTAGGAGGTCCATATCCCAGGGTCTGCCCATCGGTGGAGGCAAAAGGACCACTGTTCCCCAGTCTTCTATAAAATAACTCCATACCTCTCTTCAGTGTCCCTACAAATCTCTATCCATCAAAACAGAGCAAATTCTGCTCCAATCATCTCCCCTCGCTCTTCCTTGAAGGCTAGAGTAACTGCCTCCATCCCATGCCTTGACCCTATCCCTAAACCCTGAATACACTGTCATCCCAATGACCACCAGTCCAATCTCTCCTTTCTTTAGGTTCTGAAAATTTCATAGGAACTAAAAAAATATATATATATGTCACTTACATTTCCTCTTCCACTCCACCCTTACCCCTGTCAATAAAAGGTCATAGCAATACTTTTGCTGGTAAGTGGGAAACTAGGGAGATTATCTGAATAATTCACCCTTCAGTTTTTTTTTTTTTTTCATGAAATTGTTAGACTTCTCAAGGAGGAAGTTAATAAGGAGGGCTGAATATCTGGGATTTCCCTTTCATTCTTACAGCACTTTGGAAGTGTAGACACAGCCCAAAGTGAAGACCCAAAGCTCTTCCTGAAGCTCCACCCTCACAAAACACCTTCCCTACACCCTTCCCCATTGAGTCTGCTATCCCAGGGACCTCTGTCTATTCAGGATGGGAGGGAAGCGGTCACAATCAAATGCAGGGGAAAACAAAATGCTCAGGAAGAAAATGGGAGAGAGGGAGTCAATGGCCTGGTTTGGCTGTCTTTATGGTGACAATTTCCCAGGAATATTGTCAGACTTGTCACTTCTCTCTGCCTCTGTAGGAATAGGTAGGTCAAGATTAAAAAAAAAAAAAAAAAAAAATCTGAAAAACAAAACAACTTCATTTTAACAGCTCAGATTCTATAGGTTAAAAATGATTTTTTTTTGTATAATTAAAATCTCTCACTTCTCAAATCTGTCTTAATTTACAGATGTAGCTATGATTCCAGAAACTAATGCTTTGAGGACAAGAATAAAACAAAGAGGGTAAGTAGCGATACCACAAATTTTTTGTTTTTGTTGGGTTTTAATCCTCAGAACATTTCTTTATTTTATTAAATCCATTTTACAAAATCAGGACTAGAAGGCTCAAAGTGGGTAAAATAACTTAAGTGGCAGAACCGATTTCAAATCCAGATTTTCTGACTCTATACATAATGATACAGTAAGTTTTAAAATGGAAACAGGCCATCTGGTACAATCTAGTTTCAAAACACCTCCTCTCCCTTCAAGAGCCAAGTAGCGTAAACATGGATTTTGGTTCTGAAATATCCAGAAAATTGTCCCTAATTATTTTTTACCCCACTTTCTGGAAACTGTCATAATTATCTACCCAATTTTGGGTCCCCTAAATTAACAGTTCGGCTGCTAACCAAAAGGTCGACAGTTGGAATCCACCAAGTGCTCCTTGGAAACCCTATGGGGCAGTTCTGCTCTGTCCTGTAGGGTCGCTATGAGACTATGAGTCAGAACCCACTCGACAGCAACGGGTTTGGTAGGGTTTTAAATACCAACTCTAAATTTCAAATGAGGTTTAATTGACACAATCCTAAAAGTCAGTTAAAAAATATACTACTGGTGTGAACTGGTTATCTCTCTAGAATGCCATTGAATGATTTGGCCATTTCTCATGGATCAGACGAAACTGCTGGTTGTTTTGACCTCCAGGGGGAAACAGCTCCAGTCTTGCCTTCTCAGAAAAGCCCCTGTTCATTGTCTGCTGCCTTGTTTGGAAAGGAGGTGGGATCTATAGATGTAGAAACATCTGGCAGCTTAGTCCTGGAGTTGTGTCTACACTGCCTAAAGTGAGTGGGGGCTTGGCTATTAATTTTACAATCAACGCTTCCCCAGCCTCCCTCCAGAGCACATACACAAACCACTCCATACCTGGAAATCTAGTAGACACCTTTGAGGATATAATGAAAATCAGATCAATGCTCATATGTAGTTTTCTGTTGGGGCTGAGGGGCCTCTACCTACAGGGCCTCACCACCCACCTGCTCTTGACTGCTCACCCCACAACCTGGCCCTGAGCTTTAAAGAGAAACTCATCCTGGTCTGATCTGGTGAGAAATACTAGCTGCTCTTCTCAACCAACACCCAAAGGCTTGTCAGTAAGGACTTTCAGAAAGACCCAAAGAACCCATTGTTGCTCTTCCTGTATATCACTCTCTCCTCCAACCCATCTCCCTCTCTCTCAATCTCTGATTCTCTCTTAGAATTTCTGCCTCTCTCTCTATAAAAATAAAAAAAAATAAAAAAAGTCTACATTCACCATAGGGAGAAAAAAAAAAATCCAACAATATAGAAATGAGGCAAGTGTCTGTATGATTGGGGAAAGGAAGAAGCCACAACACATCTTGGCCTTAATTATCTGGATCGTTCTGAACAATTGCCTCCGTCTCCCACACCAGCCTAGACTGCCATAGATGAGGCTTCTCAGAGCCAGAGGCGCTGAAGAGAGACAGTAGTGTTTATGCCTAGATGCTGCCAAACAAACTACAATTGCATAGACAGAGTTATCTAGAAATCGCACTACTTCTAGGGGCTCTCTGTATGGGTAGAGAGATGGAGGGTGTCTGAAAATAATTTTTTTTCATCTGCCTCTTGCCTGGACCTCTGCACTCACTAAGATACACCAACCTGCTTCTGTTTCCACAAAGGGAGTGTGTGAGCACATAGCTGCTGAGATATACTGGGTTTTGTATCCATTTCCCTGCCGTAATTTGCAAGTGTATTAAATCTCAACTGGGCTGTATTTTTTATATTTCAAAGATATTTTTCTCTAGGAGGCTGTGATCAAAGAGTGTTTATTTTTAGCAGTTTTGAGCGGGATCTTTGAGATGTTTATTTTGCTCAAATGTATTTCTGAGTTTCTCTTCAGGCCTTCACTCCCACCCCATTCCACATCATACAAGAATGCCAGAGCAATTCCCTCTCTTCTCCTTCTTCACACTAACACTATTGCCCATTGCTTTAGGCCTGCCCGTCCTCAGCCATAATAGGCCTGGTGGGCACCTGCTCCCCTACCTCTTGACCCGTTGGCATGGCCCATCAACTTCCCCTGCTCCAGGAATTTCTGCTGGATCCTTATCTCCTAAGGAGCTTTCCATTTGGGTGAGGTGAGGACTTAAAGGACCATCTCTCAATAATACACTACTGTATACCTGCATGTGAATTGCCTATCTTCTAGAAATGTGTTATTATGTGCTTCATACTAGGTTATTATAACAGAAATTGTATTATATAAAAAATATTATTGCATGCAGTGTAGGTGATGCACGACACCATGTTCTAAAATCCTATCATCCTTAAATCTTCTGGCAGTCAGAAACAGGGTGCCTAGTGTGGGTCCTATCCTGGTACTGAATTGTGTTATACTGAGTAATTTCATAATGTTTACAAGAATATTATTTACACTCTAACATCATTCAGTGATTTTTTTTTTTTTTTTTTGCTATCGACCTCTACTCCCAATCCCGGATGCAGAGGAATTTCAGTCCCACCCATAGGAGGTCTTCAGGTCTAAACTTTCCAATGAAAATGTTCCTGGGCCAGCATGTGGAGCTAGTTGGGGGGGGGGTGTCTGGAAAGCATGGAGAGACAACTGTGGCTGCTTAGGGCCCCTCAGGACCCCTGTAGGCACCAGAAGGGAGAACCCAGTCAGCCCTTTCCTACAGGGCTCTGCTTACAGCTGCAAGAGCAAACTCAAGTGTGCTGGATTTGCTCAACCTCAAATATGATTTCTCATCGCAGGGCAGAATTGGAGGCTTCCAACACTGTTTTGGGAAACCTCCGACAGGCCTTTCCCCCCGCGGTAGAATGGGAGTTGCAGGAGCCTCTCCTATTCGAATATAGCATCAACAGGAGAGGGATGAATCTATCTATACATGCCGGCCAGTACTGAGGCGGCCCCAAGAGCCGGTCTTTGTCTCTCCCCCATCACTTATCCTCACACCTCTCTTTCTGTGTCTGGGTCACAGTCAACTAACTCCTTTCTCGTCCACATTTGGAGGAGCTGGCAGTGGAAACATCCACTGGTGTTGAGTTCAGTATACCAAAGAGGAAAAGATTTTAAACCCCAGGGAGGGATGCGAATCCCCTTCTCTCTACACCCTAAGATTTTTTAGCTCTTCTGCTCCGTCAATAATCAGGAAATTTGTGGCCGAATTCTTAAAATAAGAAAAGAAAAGACAATACACTATATTTCTGTAGATCCCGGCAAATTAGATCGCTTTAAAAAATCTGTCTAGTGCCTAACGATCCCGAAAATTCAGGCAAAGGAGTATTGGGAGCTCATATTTTTCGTTCAATTATTTTGTGGGTTGAGGATTTGTCCTGAAGGCTGTGGATTGCAGGGCACCCGCGGTCCATCCCACCCCCATTCTGGCCGGAAGCGGGCTTCGGGGACCAGGAGCCGCGCGTGAGGCTGGAACAGGCAGGGGGAGGAGGAGGCGAGCTCCGACCCGAGCCGAGACGGCGGCCCGGCGCCCGGGCGCCTGTGATTGCTTCACCCTCGGCAGGGCAGCTCCGGGGAACGTGTCGGAGCAGATTTCTTCCCCGGCGCATTCCTCAGCGCAGCTCGCCCGGCCGGCTCCATCGGCAGCCCAGCCGAGCGGGCGCGCCGGGGCCAGACGGCGGGGGTGGCTGGGGC